TAGGTTCTAAAAATATTTTTAGTCCCCCAATTGAACCCAATTTTCTATTTGACCCCTTGGTCTGATACCAGATTTTTTGGTCCACACAGTCTGAAGCCTTATTCTTTAGTTCTACACGGTCTATATCCGGATGCTTTCAGTCCGCATTGTCTGAATCAGGATTACTTTGGTCCAGATGGTCTGAAACCAGACTCATTTGGTCTACACGGTCCTAAACCGGGTTGCTTCGGCCCATACGGTTTGAATCGGGTTTGAAAGTGGCTTGATTCGGTCCACACGGTCTAAAGCCAGATTCTTTTGGTCCACAAGGTCTGAAACCGTTTTTTTTGTTCATACGGTCTGAAACCGGATTCCCTTAGTCCACACAGTTTGAACATACCATATTCCACATTTTGATACCAATGATCTGAACATGCTAAATTTCGGTCCACACTGTCTGAACCTAAAATCACGACCTCGACCTGGGTCGTAAACCATTTTGATTCAGTTTTTGTCTTAGCCAATTTATTCTCGCCCAGCAATTAATTTATCCACTCTCACTCTAACTCATTTTTTTTAGATTAAGAGCAAGAGTAGATATTTTATATAATTCATTATATATCTTTTTAAAAGCTTTTTTAGGAGCGAGTGTGGATAAAAATAGTCACTGGAAGATAATATTAAATTTTCATTTTTTTTATCACTTGTTCTTTAATCAACTTTCTAGGAATTGTATCAAGACACAGCTGAAAGCAACTCTAAAATTTACTGCAAAGACAAAAATCCATGACTGGCAAAACGAATTGCTTAATGTTCGTTATGTTTGGAGATGGGTTATTTACTTTCATTTCACGTGAGCTCTCAAACATAAAACTTAATTGAAATCTTTATCATGAAATCTCCATATTTTGATTTCAAACAAATGATCTAAGTGAAACTTTTGCGTTTTGAAATGAAATAGCGCAAGCGTGGATAAATATAAACACTCGCCAATTTTTTTCACTCGCCAATTTTTTTAAGTTAAGTAATCAAGGTGAAAATCAAATTTAAAAAATCAAGTTCCTAGTAACATATTCGAGATGAGAATAAGACACTTACCTGCACGCCATTTTGCCTTGTGTCCCATAAATCTACTTTTTCAAACCACAAGCTTACTATTCTTTTTGTTTTCAGTTCTGATGTAATGAATCAATATAATTACAGACTATATACATATTTTATACATATTGATTAGATGTTTTTAAGATTGTGTCCCCGTTTTTTTGCCTATCAACAAAAAAGAGAAAAGTTTAAAGTATATAATCTATGCTTCTTAGTTAAATCATCATGATAATGTTTTAGCTGAAAAAACTAATACAATCATTAATACGTAAATACCTTGACGCAAAAAAGCATATTTTACAGATTATTAAGACATAGTACACAAATTGAGTTTTTTGTAGGTCATTTCTTGATTACATACAGAGTATCTTCAGATTGTATACGGGGTTATTAATAAAATTGATTATTTAGACACTAAAATTACATATTTTTGGCTAAAAAGAACACAATCAATCTGTATAGAGTCCATTAGCACTCCCAAGTTGGTTGTAAATAAGCGGACTCTAGACCCAATTTAATCTGTACACCGTTCTGATCAAAATCAATTTTTATCCATTTTTATTGTTGCGGGTGGTAAATTGTATCTATTTTTACATCAAAGGATGTGTTCACACTTTTTCAAAAACAGGAATGTGTACCTGCCCTAATTTTTACTTGCTTTTTCACCCGTAGCCTAAATATGTAATTACAGAACATCCCAAATTAAGGGAAGAAAGATAATAAACTCAATTTCCAAGCGTAATTATCAAGATTGCTTTCAACTTTGCTTTGATTTATTATCTCAAAATTTTAACGAATAAAAAGTCTAAAGGGCTACGAACGAGTTACTAGAAATTAATGAACATAAATCAAATCTTTTTTGCTGTGATAGCTTTTTTGGAAAACTCTTGTTATTTAATAGACTAGTTTTGTTGTTTTACAAGAAAATTATTCAAATAAGAAGATTAGTTTTGTCCGCACTTGCGCTTATTCAAAAAGTAAAAATCCTCAGACCGTTTTAGTAGTCGATATCAAAAAACGGCTATTCAATGATAAAGATTTCGAGTAGGTTCTCTCAAGAATTCTTACGAAGCGAAAACTTCTAAACCGGTCAATTTACAAAGTTTGAGAAGTTATAAATTCTGGTTCTAGTTTTTCACCGAAATTGTCTCGAATAATTGAAGCAGAAATATGCAGTCAACAAAAACGTTCAGTTTTTTATAAAACGATGAAAAATGCGGCTGCAATAACGAAATCGTTTTTGAAACAATTTATCCGGTCCACGAAAAATTTTCAAACAAGCGTTGAAAATGCAATGATGTTTTTTCAGGTTTTCAAAAAAATTAATTAAAATATGTTGAATCAGGCTATTAAGACGTTCATTAAGACAATTATGGTGCAATTATGAATATTTTTTTTACAATAAATTTAAGAAATGTCTATAGTTTTGTTTTGAATTATTTCAAAAGAATTTGAGGAGCGAATCGTACTTATTTGAGTTTTTGATAATTTGTTTTGTGTGAATAGCCACGTTTTTGTTATATTTTGATATAGTTTTTGGTTTCTTTCGTATGAGTTCTCGAAAAAATTAGTCAAAATCTCTGTCCTTTACTAGCCGCTTTTTAGTTTCAAAAGAAACTATTTGAAGACTTTTGATTTTTGAAATTAATTAATGCAAGTATTGATCGTTTTGATCTCTCGGCGACTTTTTATTAGAGAAATAAAAGTGCAAATTTATTAGTGCTCTTAAACTTTTAAAAGCTCAATCGAAAAAATACCTCCCTACCATTTTGCTTACAAATTTACTAATCAAGTCAGGAATATGCGAATACTTTGCTGCAGAAACAAAATATTATAAATTTTTCTTGGTAATTTTTCGTAAAGGCTGATCCTAGAAGCATTTGAAAAAAAATTTTCAAAAATACTTTAAGGGACCGCGAGAGGCCTTAGATTGAAAAAAGGGATCTCTTGCAACTTATGGTTTGTGGCAAGCAATTTTCCTCAAGTGACTTCACCTCCCGAAAACACTGACGTGTAGTTTTCTTCTTTACATAATTTTCGCTAAAATTGGGAACAAAAACAGTCTTAAAACTAACATTTGAAAGCTCAAAATTGGCCTTTTTACAATCACTTTTAACACAAGCTTTACACAAGTTATCTACAGACAATGAAATAGCTTGTTCTGATTCTTACACAGGTTTTTGTATAAAGATTATTTATTGATTAGCTTCTGATTATTTATAGGTCTTTTTTTTTACAAAAAAATGATTATTCAGACTCTAATATCCATATTCTCTTGATGAAAAAGAGTCCCTGTATCTGTATAGAATCGAATTTTGCTCATAAAGTAGTTGCAGATAATTCTGTACTATACTTACTTTAATCTGTAGATTTAGAATCGATTATTGTCACTGCGGGTAAGACATCGAAAAAAATGATATCGAATTTTACATCAAAAAATGTGTTCACACTTCTTCGAAAACAAGAATATGTACCTGCTGTAATTTGCTATTTCATTTTTACACTCAGCCTAAATATGTAATTACAGACGGGCCCAAAGAAACTAGAGATTAATGTTAAATGCGATTTCAACGAGTGTGAATACACAGCTGAAGTTGGAACGAACTGAAATTAAGCAGAGAAATAACCCAGCCGAAATATTACGTAGTTTGTGTTGAATGCTGCCTGAGTTTAGATCGCAGGTTTTGTACGAGCTAAGTAATTTTGATTAGATCAAATGGCTTTATGACTTTTTTCGTTTTGGTCAAACATCACGTGACAAGCCTAAGTTATAACTTTCTCCTCCTTTTTTATATGAGTTTGGACAAAAATTTTGCATATCCCAGTGCCACTGTATAAATGACACATCAATTACTTATTGAAAAACTTATCCAAAAACCAACACTGAATCGTCTCTGAACATTTTTTTTATATAACTTGGGTAATGGATTCAGTGATGATGATCTATGTTAGTTACAACCCGGGTGCTGTTTTTCTATTGTAGCTGGTTCATATATCACCATTTTGCAACATCTACTGCAAGAAGGCACTTTCAATTTTTGTTAATTTTAGCTCATTCATATTCCAAAAACTTCATCAAAATCTCAGGTGAAGTCAATTTTCACTTCTAAGACAACATGTATTGAAGTCTGTCTAAGACTGCTGCCGCAACACAATAGCGACGCATTATAAACAGTCATTCACATATTTCAGGGTTAACATTGCGCCCATTTTCAGTCTGGAGAGAGAATAGAGGAAAAGTTGAAATAATTTAGGGCTTACTCCGTAGGGCAAAATGCAGACGCATTTTCTTTTTTAAAACTCAATCAAGCACCCCTGGGAGTTGATTTCAAGTCGCAAAAATTCTCCATAGCATAATTACTAAAACATATTTCAAGCATGCAGAAGTGTCCCAGGTATTTTGAAAAAAAAATCAGTTTTTTAAAAAGTGATTTTTATTAAATAATTTTGTTTAAATATTAAATAATTTTTTTTTCAAGTTTTGAAAAGTTTTTTAACCTTTTTTTAGCCATCATTAATTGAAAAACTTTTCAAACCACAGGGAGTTGAAGTTCCAAACAAAAGATTAAACTATTTGTTTTCGGCAGAGCGGCTGTTAGGCAAATTTGTAAGTAGTAGTTTTACAACTTGAATGGAGTTCTTTCAGCAGTGGGATTGGTTAGGGGCTAAAATGCACCGGCGTCCTCTAATCTTTCCCCGGAAAAGACCTCGGCGTACCAAGACCACAGATAGTCTTATGGGGGTAGTTTTTGGCCGAAATTGATTAACAGCAGAAAATTGATGAACAGCAGAAAGGTTCTTGTTTACAATTTGAAATGTTCATGCCATTTTCTGCAATCAAATTCTAAAAAAAAACAAATTTTGGCGTTTTGCATTTTTTGCTTTTGCGAAACTAAGATGTCTGACTGGAGATGAGACTGGACTTGTTAAACTACATGAATTGAATTCGGCTGATAATATATTTTTTTGGAAATTTCCTTGGCTACAAACACTTTTTAATAAGATTTTGCTGTAAAACTAAACTGGTTGAACTCGGATCTCAGATCTTTCGGCGTGTTGCTCTTTAAAGGATAGATTTGATTGTGGTTTAGTTGCTACTCTGGTCGATTTATTGGAAACTTATTCCAAGAACCCTTCTCTCCCAATTTCAGGATCCAACTGGACCTTTTAAATTTAACGTTCCTCTAATCTCGAACGGCCAGCGAATAAAACTTTCGGACCCATTGAGTTGATATTAAACATTTGGCTTTAACTGGAGTATCGAAGCATAAAACCCCAAATATTTTGAACAGTTATTACTAAACAGTTATTACTAAACCTTTACTAATACTGATTCCCACTTTTGTTTCAGAGAGAGAGAGTTCTCATTACAAGTAAATCGTCTGCAACATTGCAAAATAACATTCGGTGCAATTTTGTTGTTTCTAAATACCTACCTGGGCACCCGTGAAAGAAATTGAAGTAAATCGTAAAATATTCCAGTCAAAATTGTACCGGAACTTGGGCTATATTATTATATTCCTTCTTTTGGTGAGTTTTATTTGTGTTCTCTGAAATTTGTCATATTTTTGGCTGCAAAAAAATAAATGATATCATTTTTATTCCTAATGAAATATTCATAGAGCTTTTCTAATTCTAAGAAAAAATAATTTAAAAGTCAGTCAACCACAATAAAAATCAGCATAAGAAAATAGAATTTAAGTCAACCACATAACCGCTGTTAAATTTTGAGAACATGCGCCAAAATTTCGTGTAGAAAAAAACCAAAACAAGCAGACTTAGAAAATCATTGATGATCGAAAAATGAGTCTCGGCATGTCGCAGCAAATTGTATGAACGGAGAGCTAGCGAAGGATAATTGGTCTCAAAATTTCCAAATTGGTCTCTCGAAAATCAATCCTTTGCCTTTTTGGCTCAATAATGGAACAATTCAAACCAAGTATTTTTCGGTTCTTTTTTAGTTCCCCCTTTTATATTTTTGAAATTCAATTTATGAAAATCTTTTTAAAATAATGTCTCGTATTAATAACTAATCAAAACATGTCAGCGTGAACAAGTGTACAAATTTTTACCACATTTGTTTTATGCAAAGCGCCTTTGTGAACAACTTTTGCACAGCTTTTTTTATAACTATACGGGAAACTGGAAAAAAGCCGATTTTTAAAAGTTTTCTTGAAACCACCTGGAAGTTACAACTTATTTTTTGAGAAAAACTAACCCGAAAAATTTCAGGTCATATCTAACAACTTGCATTTTGTAATACAACATAACTGAAAAGCAAACTTATCTCAATTTCACAAAAATACTTTTTTTCTGAAAAATCAGCTTGCCTCAATTGCACGAAAAAGCAATTTTTTGACAATTTGTAACAAGGATAGCGGGTTACTGTCAAGTGGCACAGAATGTTCCGACTTGTCTTAAAAAATACCACATAGTTCTTTTTTTTTCAAATTATTGTCATTTTTTGTCGGCGTGGTGTGATAAAAAGAACTGACAAAAAACTGCAGATTAGGTATATTCGACATTCATAGTTAAATCAGCAAATTGAAAACCAAATTATTTGAAAAAGCTACTTGAAAAATGAAAAAAAAATGGCGCTTAAATACTCAAAGTTAACTAATATTACTCAAGTAAAACTAAATTGTTACTTTTTGAATTAAGCTATTGTAAGCTTTTAAGTAGATAAAATAAAACTGCTCGATCGCTTTATTCGCTCGAAGTAAGGCGAAGTAAGACCAAAATTTCAAACCGGTTTTTCAAAATGGCTCGAATCACGACTGTAAGTGCTTTAATTTGATATATCACTTAACCCAGTCCGATGATTGTGTGGTAATTGATTTTGCGTAAAAAAAACTAAAACACACCAGAATGCAAAGTCCCCTTCCCATTTTCAATGGTCGGAAGAATAAAGAACATCTGTTTTAGCTATTAATAGGAATAAATCAAAAAATTTAAAAATGTGGTTATCATTCATAACTTAAGAGTCATATTTTTGACTGAGGGAGGAAATTGGCGTCATGCCTCAGCTGGCAACAAAGAATAAACTTAAAAAAGTACACCTCGAAAAGTGTGGAAAGTTTCGAAGTAATTTAATCGGAACAAGCGACTGTCTTTTACCAATGCCCGTTTAAAACTCTTCTCCAAACCCTGTAAATTGTCGCATTCCTTCAAGTTTATAAATTGCTCATGTTTGCGAATTTTTTGTGGCGATTTGTCGCAGATTCCAAGCGTGCAATACTTCGACTTCTTGGAATTTTTAATAGAATTTCCGATTTCTGATCTTTTCGTCACGTATTTTGATTTTTCATTACCTAATTCGAATTTCCGGGTTCCGCTAAAACCCATAGTCTGTTCATAGTCTGTTCATTTTTACAGTATCCATGATAATCGATTTTTTTTAGATGTGAACCCTACCCCCTGCCACATCCCTCTAGTATGTCCTCCTACCACGTCCCCCACTACGTGCCCCTTTTTAATTTTTCGAACTTAAGACATTGTTTTCTATTTCAAACTTAAATTTTGAACGTTTAAATTCATTTTTTTCATAGTTTTTTTTTACAAAAAATGTAATTCATACTATTGCCAAAAAGTGGGAACTGTATAAGCAGCATTTTATTTTGCTGGCGATTAACCAGCGCTATCAAACTGGAATATCGACTTTTTGACGCTTATGCCTGGGATGCCAAAGGTTCTGGGTTCGAAACTGACCGGACCTGTTTTTTTTTTTCAACACGGGAAATAGTCTGTTTCCAAAAAAATGTCGGCTTATTTTTGTCTGCTCATGTTGTATCGGCTTATTTGCATCATATTGCGTCTTTCGACAAGCGAAAAAATTTTGTGTGCTCGTGTCTGTGTTTTGAGGTTGAGGGGGACTTATTATCTTAGTCTTATCGTTTTTTATTCTTTTTCGGCTTTTTTTATTTGCCTTTTTTGGGCTCAATAGGTTTCAGTCTATATTATATTGCCTTAGTGTCCTCAAATTGTTTCTTTTGATGGGCAAAAAAAGTGTTTTAAGGCGAGTGGTCTTATTAATTTTTCAGAAGTCTGAAGTCTTGTTGATTTTTTTTCGGCTTAAAGGGTTTCTGACAAGGTATTTTCGGCTTTGTTAACGCTTGGTACTTTTTCTTTCGATGCTTATTACACTTCCTATTGTTCTGTCATGTTTTTGTTTCAAAACTAGCCTTAGTCTTTTTGATAGAACTAGTTTTTTTCACCTTTTCGATTTTTTCAGTTTTTTTTTGTTTTGTATCGCAAGTGGTGCGAAGCTCAGCTTCGCCTCTTTGTTTATAAACAAATTGTATAGAATTGTACTTGTAGACTTTTCGGTGTATGGAAGTCAACCCGGGTGGTCATAATATTTTGTTCTACTCGCACTGCTGCAGCCATTAATTTTTGTTACAAAAACTCATTTTACATTAGTTTTTTCGAGACTTCTGATATATACTGATTCTGATATATACTTAGTCTGATTTTAGGCCTTGTTTCCTTGTCCCCAATGTTCTCAAAAATTTAAAAATAAATTATTTTCACCGTAATTTGCAATATTCCGCACTACTCACTTAACCTTATTTCTGACAGACAAAACCCCAAAAGGGCTCATAAACGACTTCAGAGTTTTGGGTCATTAAATTATATCGTCAATAACAATGAAGGTGAAAATGGGCCTTTTCCTTATTTTATTTATAGCACATAACCAGATGATATGGCTCGGATTCAAACCCGCGAAGGTAGCCTTTTTCTTTATTTTCTATTGATCTTCTTGTTTGTTTAAGGCGAGCGTTAATGCTTTCTTTTGTCGGCATCAAACTCATAAGCTAATAAGGAGAGTGATTTCCTGGGCATGTAGCATGGAGTATTCTACTACAATGATTAAAAAAAGAAACTCAGACTATTTTTCCAAACCATGACCAACAAACCTTAACATTTATACCACACGCAGCTGAAAAACTAGTATTTTTTGTTATGCCACTTGCAAAGATTTTTTTCCCGTAAACAACTTTTCTTACAATTTTTCAATTTGCTTTATTTTTGAATCTTAACAATTTTTTCGCACTTGGGCTAGAGGAGATAACGCTGTCACCTTTGCACACTATGGTCTGAGGTTCGAATATCGGCTAGGCCTTGTTTTCTCCATTAAAAATGCGCTGAAAAAAATGTTCGGTAAAAGTTGATTTGTCGGACTCTACTTTATCTGCTCAAGTTTTGTCGGCTTAGTTGCCACATCACTGGTTTTTCTTGTACTCTAAGCAAGTATCATGGTAGTTGCAAGTATTGTTCATTGTATGTTCTGGGGGAATGGAAACTTTTAAAAGTCTTCTAATGAAATCAATTTTTATTTCAGCTAAACTGGTGTATGCTTAAATATTGTCTGCTTTGTTTCCACTTCGTAAATTTTGTTCCGTTGCTATGATAAAATTCAAATGACCTGCTTGGCTCACGTTTGTCTAGAATTCTTCTTTGATAAAAACGAGTTTTATGAAAACGTATGGGATCGGGTGATTATTTTTTAAAATGTTTTCTTTTTTTGCAAATATTTTAGTTTTTTCTCAAAACGTAATCAATCGATTTTCAAAAAATAGGAACCAGAGAAAAAGCTGCCTATTCTGCTTTGTGCCTGCATGCTCACCTAGTCTCTGTTTGTTTTATCACTTTGTCTGCAGACTTCGAAAAAGTATGTGGGGGATTATTTGACCTATATTTTTGATTTTTAAAACGTCCTCTGAACAACTATCCTCCCAAATCTGCGATTTTGGTTTCAATGAGTGGAACTTTATGACTTTCGGAATAATCAAGTTTTTAATTTTTTGACCGTTCTTTGAATTTTTTTGACTTTTTTCCAGATATATCTTCCCAAATCTGAGATTATTTGTTCAATCAAAGTTACAAGTTGCGTGAACTTCTTCTGTATAAGCGGCAAAGCGGCAACTTTTTCCAAAATCAATGGTTTCCAGAAATGTCAAGTTTTTGAATTGTTGACAGTTTTGGCGTGGGAACATTGATTGAAGTACTCGATCAGAAAAACAAGCCGTACGGTGTTAAAATTTGGGAGAAAGGCGTTTAAAAATTAACTTTAAAAACTCTCTTAAAGTTATTTTTGTGACAATTTGATTGTTTTACAAAATCTCAGTTCTGTTATCTTAAATCTTAGCTTGAAAGATTAGTCTGCTAAAAGATCCTCATTTAAAATGTTCCTACTCAAACAGATGATTGTTCGAATTTTCCTTTACGCTTCCAAATAAAGGACCATTTATTCTCTAATTGTATAATTTTCTGGTGCCATGTGTTGTCTTATTGTCGTAATTCATACTGGAGGTTTTCACCGCAGTTTAGACCCATTATATGGAGAGTATAGTGGCTATTCTTTTATTTTTTGAATGTTTTTCGGCACGTGGGCTCCACAGTAAAAATTGCCCACATTGCAAATGAAGGCGCCTTTAAACGGTTTTTTTGTCGATTTAAGATTTTTCAAAAATGTAAATTAAAAAGTTGAGGCTTTTTTGCTCTTAGAATGAATCAAGAAGTTCTGCTTAGTGAAAACGAAGACAAGAAATCGCTTTACCGGAGCAGACCTATTGCTGAAATCAAGAACGGCTCAGTTTCAAACAGCCGAACATCTTCCAGTTGCAACTTAGCCGAAGAAGCCGAGACTGAGGAACCCCTTTCGGGCCAGGTATTTTTAAGAACATAATCAAATGACTGGCACACATTTAAACACCCTCATAATTGAGCCAACATCTCGAATATTTGGCTTCTGAATGAGTTTGACTGAGTCTGACACTGAAGACAAGGTTATGCCGAAAAGTTTTTACTAATTCAAAAAACCCTTTTGTTTTTCCTCAGAAAACTAGGCAGATCTTTTTGCTGAATTACCCGAAGTTATAGACCACCTCATTGGAATTCCAATTTGATTCAAACACCAGATTTATACATGCTTTCATATTAGATCGTGGTATTGTTAAGGTCTTTGATACCAACCAATCATGATTCAATACTTAAAAGCCCTCTTTAAGTTTGTAAAGTGTCAGTTTACCTTCCTTGTCAGACTATTTTACTGATTGCTTGCAATGAAGTTAATCTCAATCTTAGCCTTGCTTTAGCCAGTCCATTTAGAAAGCTTCTAAATCCATTGAGGCGAAGGAATCGCGAAAGACTCAAAAAACCAGAAAAATTTAAATTGAAAAAAAAAATTTGGAAAATCCGTTTTTCAATGTTTCTAGGAGGAACAAAAAGCAAAAGCTTTCATGGAAAACAAATAAATGTGAATTAGAAATTTTTTAGTTTAGCTCACTAAAATTTGAGTATTCGAGCAGTCCGGCTCAAAAGATTCAACAGAGCATCCCTGTTTCTCCCAAAAAAAAAACTTTTTTTTTTAATCAGTAAAGCCTAATTCTTCAATCGCATTCACGAGAATGAACGAAAATCTCCTCGCTGTCCAACCAACGATTTTTGTATGAATAAACTGTTTTTTCAATTCACTTGGTAGTTTTTTGTTAAACCAGGAAACTGTGAAAGACATATGGTGCAGTCGCAAATGCTCAAGTTATCGGCTTATAACATATTTTTTCAAGCTTTAATTTTAACTTTCACTCAATGAATCTGATTTAACTTCAAAATTTTTTCTGACAGCTTGCAGTTTTAATAAGCATCAATTTTTATATTACTTTGTTACACTTGTTAAAATTAAAACTAATTGAATATTGATAAAATCATCACAACCTGCATTCGATCTATTTAGATTTTGATTTTTTTAAAACTCAACTTCAATTATGCCCTAAATTGTGTCTAACACGATCCATTTTTATCCATTCACATTTACAATTTATATTAATTGATACTCGAAACAGCCAATTTAGGTCCATATTGTCGAAACATACCGAGCTTCGATCGATACGGTCGAAACGAATAGTGGGCACCACCTCCAGTAGCGGATTTAGAGGTAGAAGCAGAAGCCGCCTCCCTCCCCCCCCTCTCTTAGCGATTCGACCCTCTGATGACCCAAAGGATCCCCCTTTTGTACTCTTTCAAGACATCCATTTTTGGCTGAGGGGGAGCGCGCGCCAAGCAAACACAATTTTTTGGTCAAAACTTTATAAAAATACCTAAAAACGCCTTTTGCGGTATGTTTTTTTTTTCAAAATAGGGTGTTTATAGTAATTGGGAAAGCTCGAAATCAATTTGTTCGACCTAAAAAAAACCTAGATCAGCCCCTGAGAACCTCGATTTGGTAAGAAATCTAACAGTTTTTATTGTTTAAGGTGCTTCGGAAAATGGCCGAGCGGAACTTGGAAGGGATGATTAACAATAACAAGCTGACGGACAGTGGGAACTACTCGTTAGGGGGAAGCAGCGAGATCCTCTCCTTCGAGGATTCGCCCCCACCCAACTCCAACGAGGCTAACTTCAAAGCAAAGTTAGTCGAGCATATATATAGACTAATGAATACAATAATGGCGTTTTCTGCGATTTGCAAAGGCTCTATCAAAGGCTATCCACCTGTTTAAAAATGGTCCGTTTCTCTTAACTTACAAGTGGTACAACTATTGCAGCCAAAAACGGTCAAGCTGTGATAAAATTGAAGCTAGTAGTCAAGTGAGATTACTGAACTGAATACGATTACAATTATGAATTTATTTGATTTTTTTGGTTAAAAGAATCAGGTATATCATCGGCCATCGTGAATTCTAAATAATCCGAATTTGCACCCAATTAAACGATAATTCAAGGACTTGCTAATTCAAACATTGGGCAAAGCAACAAATTTTCCTCACTTTTGCAATCGGAATTTGGGAAATATGTTCAAATATGCAATAAAAAAGATAAATAACCAGGAGCGGATCTAGGATTTTCTGGAGGGGGGGGGGGGGGGCGGATTTTCAAAAAATTTTTAGGCTGGCCAAATTGATTTTCGGAGCTCTCCCAAATCGCTATAAAGACCCTATTTTGACCAAATTTTCTGTGCTTTTTAGACGTTTTTAGGCACCTTTTAGAAAGATTTGACCAAAATTTGCGTTTTTTTTTAATCGCTCACCCCCATTCAACCAACCCTCAAAATGAGTGCATATTGGCGTCAAAAGCGCTTTTAGAAAATTTTTGGCTCAGTTTGCCAAAAAAGGATGTCTCAAAATACTAACTAAGGGGGACCTTTTGAGTGATCAAAGGGTTGAATTCTTAAGGAGTTGGGGAAGAACGCCTTAGGAATTCAACCCTTCACCAAATCCACGAGACCCCCCACCACCAAATCCACTACTGATGACTACAATACTATAACAAGAGAGGAAAAAACGGTAAATTTTGAGTCGTAACACTTGATTTATTTTCTTTTCTGATGGCTAAATAGTAACAAAAAAATGAACAGAACGCTTCAGTTTTAATCTTATTTCCGCTCCCTCCCGATAACTATACCGCCTCCTCCATAGATTCTTTGAAATGATTCAAATCCGTCTACAGCGATTGGTCACTTCCCAAAGGGATTGGTCACTTCCGAAAGACATTTGTCTTTTCCCAAAGCGATTGGTCACTTCCGAAAGCAATTGTTCAATTCCCAAAACGATTGATCACTGCTGAAGAAACGTCACTACCCAAATGGCATAAGCAAAGTTGTTCCAAATAGCATAAAAGAAAGTTTTTAAAATATGATTTATTAGAATACAAAACTTGAGAGCGAGATGTGACTGTTATCATGACGAGACAAAACTGTGCAATGGATAGTAGGCGCACAGTTTAGTGTCTGTAGGTCACTGGAATCCAGAGACAAGTTTTTAAGCATGTTCCAAAACTTAATTGGATTCCACGTACAAAATCGATAAAAAGTCATTATTTTTCACATCTCTCGGAGATTTTTCAGTAGACCGATTTTTGCGACAAATCATGGTAGAAACAAATTGTTGCAATTTGGGAACAAATTTTTCAACATGTTCTTCAATATAACGATAAATTATATGTTTTAAAAACTGGATTGCTCTCTCTGCAAACGCAGCTTTTGTTTCACTCACTGTTGAGTAATCTTCAACGTCTTTCTCCTGGCAATTTTTTTTGAAAGTTTCCCCATATTCTGTTCTTTTTTCAACCCAAAGCTTTTCAGGAGTGTTTTTTCGAGAAACCATTTTTTAAAAACCTGCAAAGTAACTTTTGCATACTTTGTTTTCATTGTTTGAACTCTGAAAAATCTCGAAAAATGTCTAGAGCAACTAATAAATACTTAACTCCATTGTTTTGACTAGCTAACTTGTCTACAAAAGCCAAGTCCATACACCAGATTTCATTGATATATTTTGAAAAAAGCTTGAAGTCTTCGGAAACGTCTGATTGGTGGACCAAATTTTGTATACGATGTCTTCGTTTGTAAGAATTGTTCTAAAGTATTTTTTGATAAACCGCTCGCTTTACTGAAGTTTTGCACAGATCCGTACGCAGCTCTACCCCTAAAATAAAACCTGTTTACTCTTACTTTTTTAGATTTTGAATGGGATCCAAGTTCCTTTGTCTTTTGCTTTGGCATTCTGTTGATAATAAGTTTGAGTGGAATTTGAGTTAATTCCCAAATGGTAAAATAAATATCTGGACAATCAGTATTTTTTTTTGCTTTGGTGCGCACACGAAGTCTGCAATAGATTCTTTTTTTATATCTTTTTTTAAATCCAATATGATGTTATCTGACTGGCTCAGTTTAATTCTAGGAAAACTCAAAATTAAATCAATAAGGCGCTTATTGTTACTCGTTTTCAACTTTGCATTTACAGCACTGTAAATTTAAATAAATCTTTTGGTACAATGTCCTCTTTTTCTTGATTTTTCCCAATTTTTTTCATTAGAATTGTACTCTGTGATTGATAAACTGAGTACGGAATTAAAACAAACTGTTCCATACTATGTCAATCGCTTAATTACAAATGGGGTGATAATAGATATCTGATAGATCATAGAAAAATACTGAGTTTCCGCAGTTTGACATGTAATTGTTCCGTCTATTGAAAAAGAACAGGAGCTTTGTCTTTGGGTGCGTTTTTTTTTTCGTTATTCTTCTTTTTATTTTCCACGCATAATCAGGTAGCAAAAAACATATACGGTAATTGTAGTGTAATATATCATTTCAAAACCCAATCACACGTGATTTGAAGGGCGAAAAAAATCATAATATGAGTCAGTGATGAGAAAAAACGGTCTGAAAAACCATTGTCACAGCTTCATTTAGCCCATACTAGTCAAAAAAAATTTCGTCAAGATTAAAAAAGTATTGTGTGAAAAAAAAACGAGAACACTTTTTAACTAGATTTTTTATATCAAATTTTCATTTTGTTGCTTGTTATTAATTTTTTCGAAACAACAGATATCTTCTATATTTATCTAACTAGTTTTCTACTTGTTTGTACGGTTATCTCAACCCATCACGCGCAGAAAATGACACTTATTTGAAAAAAAGAACAAAAATGTAGTCTTTTTAATGTTCGGAATATTCTATAAAGTTAAGCTAAGAAGTTGCATGTAGGTCTGCATAATGGTCCTTTGTAAAGAACTCAACAACTTGTATTCGTGTTTTTTACCTCGCGGATAAAAAAATATTCATGATGCTTGATTTTGCATGAAACAAAAAATAACAAATTAGGGGAAGCTACTTCTTTGCAAACAAGGCCATAAGGTCATTAAGAGGCAAACGACTGCGTTCTTCAACACCCAGTGAACACAGTTTGAGTCTAATTATCGAACACTAGATGACAAACACACTGGATCTCTTTTATTTCCACAAAAATGACAGCATCGGTGTGGATTAAATTAAGAAAAAGGTCGATTTCAAAAAGATCGACTGTTTGTTAAACGACTGTGATTTAATTGTCAGAATGCAGGAGCTGGCGGCATTCCGAACCAGTCTGCAGGACCAGCAGAACTACAAGAAGGCGAGGAAGGTGCGCTTCTACAGGAACGGAGACAAGTCATTCCCCGGACTACTGGTGGCCATCTCACCGGACAAGTAATGCCTCTTGTTTCACAAACAAACAAGGGCCCATTCCCACTATACCCCCTCCAGCCGAGCACCAATAAAATTATAACTGCGCCACGGCAGCAGTTTTGTTTTGTTTTATGAGGGCTATTGTTTGCTGGGGGTTATCGGAAATTGTTATGTTTCCTAAAATGAAATTACTTAATTTGTTTCATTTTAATTTTGAAGAATAATTTTAGAAAAATCACCTGAAATCAAATATAAAACAAGGAAAGTCGCTTCCCATTACAGTCTTCCAGGTAAGCTAATTTACGGATAAGGTAAGAAGAAAAATCGAACAAAAAATATTTCGCTTTTTTATGGGAGAGTTCTGATGTTTAGTTATATAATAATCTGCAAGAACTAGACGGCGTGCTTGGGACAATAACATACATGAATTATGATATTATCAAGGTCTTAAATTTCTTTATATTTTTTGTAGATACAAAAATATGGCGGCCCTAATGAAGGAACTGACTCGAGTGTTGAGTACTTCTATGACCCTTATGGACGGCGTGCGGGCCATATATGACCTGGAGGGAAACCCAATCAGAGAGATGGACATGTTACTCGAAGGAGAGAGCTACGTTGCAGCTTCAAAGGAACACTTCCAGGTGAGAAAAGCGGCGGTGAATTGAAGTCGCTAAGTCTCCTCCCCGCACCCTGCAGATCAGTCTTTAGAGGTCCACCATGATCCGTGCTGTTCTCTCTTGATGGCGAAACAACATTAAACAGAAAATAAAACAAGGATGGCTGGTAACTGTGCAAGTGGCACAGAATGTTCCGACCATACTTTTAAAAATACATTAATATTTTGTCAAATTAGTGTCGTTTCTTCGGCGTGGTGAACAAAAAAGTAGAGCTTATGCATATTCGACGGTCGCATTGTAAAACACGCAAATTGGAAAACAATTTTTGTAGAAAAATTACTAAAAATAAGACAAAAAAAAATTTAAAAGCGCTAAAATACTCAATTAAAACTAGTTTTTTTTTTGGCTAAAACTAAGCTATCGTAAGCTTTTAAGCCATTAAAAAAAGCTATTGCAAGCCTGCTTGCTCGCTTTATTCGCTCGAAATGAAACGAAAAATCAAAAAGTTAAAACCGGATTTTCTCGACAGTGGCAAAACTTTTTTGAAATTTTCAAACGTCGTTCGAGTAACGATTGAAAAGGCTTCACTATGATATATCACTCAACTCTCTCCAATGATTATTTGTCCAATTGTTTTTCTGAATAATATAAACCGCTAAAGTTCGATCAGCTCATTTCAATGTCACAACCCTCATTTGCCGCCTTAATGCTTTTTCGTCTCAGTGGCTCGTCGTCCTTTTTACCTAGCACCGTTTTCATACCTTTATCACGCGATTGAGATTACTTTTCAATCAAAGTCCGAGGAAAGTATGCTACCCAGAAACGAGATTGGCGAATTCCTGAGCTATAACCCGCATTTAAGAAAAGTGAAAACAAATCGATTATAATGGATTTTTGTGGTCTAAAATGTTGTAAGCATAATCGATTCCCGTGTTACGCTCAGACAACAAAATTGGACTAAAAGTGGGTTTAAATACATTTTCTCGCAAAAACAAATGTATTATAGTTCATTTGAAATCCATTATAATGGATTATATATTAAGTACAAAATCACATTAAAATGGATTTTTTTCCAATTTATTTTCGTTTCGCGTCGTGCAAACTTTTGCAAGAATTTCTGCATTTATCAAATGAGTTATGCGGAAATTTTGCGAAGAGAGTGCACGGCCTAATCCATTTCTAAATCTAAACTCAATTTGCAAAAAGATTCTGTTAAGCTCTCCCCCCCCCCCCCCAAAGATTGCCCCTTTACTCCCCCCAACCTGAAACACCGTCCCAACCACCCCCCTCCCGCACCTCATCTGAACCACACCCCCTTTCGCACCTATTAAGCTCTCTCCCTAACGTTCCCCCAAACGTTTGCCCTCTTAACGTCCCCCCCCAACGTTGGTCCACCACCCCCCCCCCCCCCCCCCCCCCCAACGTTGTTCCCCCCACCTAACGTTTGCCCCCTAACGTTTGCGCCCCTCACATTTGACCCCTAACGTTTGCCCCCCTAACTTTTCCCCCTATCGTTTGCTCCCCCCCTAACGTTTGCCCCCCCCCCCCCGACGTTCCCTCCGAACGCTCCCCCGTAACGTTTGCTCCCTGACGTTGCCCCCCGAACGTTTGCCCCCCTGACGTTTCCCCCCCCCCCACCCCCACCGGAAAGGGTATTAGTCCACTTCCAACGTTGGGGGGGGGGGGCTTGTAAAGGGGTAAAGGCTTGGGGGTAATGGAAGGGGGAGTTGTTAGTCCACTTCCAACTTTGCCACCCCCCTCCCCCAAAGTTTCTAATAGTTTAAGAAAATTTATGAAAAGAACAAAATGCAGTTACAGTTATTGAGTAACTTCAAAAAAGTAACAAAAATACCAAAGTTAGGCAGAGAAAAATTAAATTGAACAACTAGTAACCAATTTTAGTTTAAGACGTAGAAAAGACTTTATGTGCGTTGAAGTTTGCATCTGAGTAAAGTGAAAAAAAAATCGATTATAATTATTTTAATTGTCAGTATCCACAAAAGTGAAAAAAAAAAATTGAATATTATGGATGAAAAAATGATTTTGATGCCTCGAAAAATAGTTATATTATATTCCATTTTTAATTGATTATAATCGATTTGTTTTCACTTTTGTGGACACTGACAAGGAAACTCAATTATAATCAATTTTTATTCATGGAACTCCAATGCGGGAGTGTACATTTTTGGGCGCTTTACCATCTTTTCATCTCTTTCTCTAATTATAATTACAATATACATTCGTTTGAAAAATGTTGACGCGCAATTGGTATTTGAGAACAAGTATTAGCGTCTTTTCCTGTGCTTCGCGCGATGATACAACTATATGAACGCGTATAAATGGAGCTAATTTGTACGACCACAATTGTAACCGACCACAATTGTCGGATCAACCGTATCATCTCCTCCCCTAAGTGGCCTACCGTAGAATGTCCTCCCTAAGCACAAATTTGAAAAAGATTTTACGCATAAAATATTCACTTCAAACAAGCGCGCTGAATATACTGCTGGAGAAAAATTTTAAAGACGAACAACTATTTTATCTTGTTAATAGCGTAAAATATTTTTTAAGATTGTTTTTTTTCGCCCTTGAAGTCATTTTCTGAAAAACCTGTATTTTATCCCCCCTAAATTGATTTGAAGTGTGGGGGGAATTATACGGTTGATCCCAACTGTTTTCAAAAAATTTTGAAAAAATAAAAAATATCCAAAAAATTTTGTCGAAAGTTTTTTTTTTGCCAGAAGTGCTAAGTGAAGCTTCCAAAATGGGTTTTCTTTTTAATAAAATCCCGTTTTTTTCTAAATGGCTAATTTTTATGCGCAACGTTACTCGATCGCTTTACTTGCTCAAAATTTAAACTAGTTTTTCTTGACACTGGGACAATTTTTTGAAAATTTTTTAATATCATTCGAATCACGACTGAAAGGCCCATTCCGATTATGATTTGTGGTACCTGATTTTGCGTGGAAAACAAAAAAGTAGCGTGGTGTCTAACAGATGAAATTGAGATGACTTATTTTCAGTTTCTGGAGTACGAGGCGGTTGCCACAGCCAGCTGGAACAACCCGACTCCAAAATCAAAAGCGAACGCCGAAGAGCAGTCGAACCTGTCAAGTTTCCTCAACGAGAAATGCAACATCGAAGACAATCGCGACTTCATCCGGCCGAGGACCATTACTCTCGTTCAAAATGGAAACCCGAGGAGCATTTCACGACTGCTGTTGAACAAGAAGACTGCGTTCTCGTTCGAGCAAGTCGTGAGGGATATTAACGACACGGTCAAGTTGAATGCAGGCGCGGTGAGGAAAGTATACAACGTGTCTGGAAAACCGGTGAGCCATTCGTTCACGGATAAATGGTCTTAATTGTCTACTTAAGTCCGTTTTTTCCTCTTTCCTTTTTTCCCTATGTTTCTATCATTCTCGGTTTTCATCAAAGATTAAATCATTTAAAAATCATTTTTCAAAACTTTTTTGCCCCTCACTTTTAGATTTGTCTTCGTTAGAATACATTATTTTATACATAACATATTCATGAACTTTTTGAAGAAGCAGAATTTTAGAAAAGTTAGCGTATCATCGATCATTTTGACCCGTTCAATCTCCTGAAGCTGATACTGTTGATCAAGACTTCTCATATCACTGCGAAGCCCTGATAGGCCCGACAGCTTTTTAAGGTTTTTGGAGTAGTGTTCGCAAGAAAAAACTCAAGAAAATTGCAAAAAAAACTGAAAAATTAAAAAAAAATTTTTTTGAAAATCATCTTAAGTAAGTGAAAATCACCCACACGCTATGTTAAGTACAAAGTGATATATTTTGGGTTTAGCATAGTAATAACAAGACTGCTCGTATCAGAGCAAAACCATGAATGTGCCGACTGCCTTTTAAGTTCTCTGGAGTAGTGTAGTGCTCGCTCGTAAAAAAATTGATGAAATTTTCAAAAGAAAAGAAGATGGACAGTCCAATATGGAATGAGTTTTAGGGGGATTAAATATCCGCTTACGCGTTAATAGCGTGAAATATGTTGCGCGTTAATTGTCCCAAATGGGCCAAATTGGCAATATTTAAACCCCCATAACTTTACGAAAAATGATCACAGGTAGAATATTGTTTTAAATTTGAGCTCATGAAAACAAAATTTTTCGGATGATATAAAAAAAATTTCGGATCAATCAAATCAAAAATGGCTAGTTTAAAAGTCGAAATTTGTCTGGAACAAAAAGCATACCGAGCTCAAATCATCCGTCATTTTCTTCAAATAAAAGACCAAATAGCATACCTCATTTCAATTTGGAACAATTTCTAACACAGATTACATCGCCGCTGATGCGTTAACAGCGCGAAAAGTAGCGCGTGTTAGTTATCCCAAATGTGAGCTCAAGAAAACAAAACCTTAGTAAAAAATTTGCCATAACAGCTACTTAAAAAGTCGAAATTTGTCTGGAGAAAATCAACAAAACTGCACGTTTCAGGGCGAAGCCCCGAATGTTCTGACTGCCTTTAAGCTCTATGGAGTAGTTTTGCTTTCAAAAAAATGCTTTTTGAAAAAAAAAATAAGATTTTTTTTCTGAGATTTTTTTCAAAAAGCATCCTCCAGACGCTATGTTGAGTGCAAGGTGATATGTTTTGAATATAGTAAAGCATTAAATAGACCATTTAAGATGCCTCAGTTCAGTTTGGAACGAATTCTCTGACGGACTGAATCTTCGCTTAGGCGCTAATATCACAAAATAAATCGCGGGTTTATTGTCGCAAATTGGCCACATTTGCAGTATCTTAACACCCCTAACTTCACAAAAAATGAACACAGCTGAAATATCCTTTCATCTTTGAGGTCAAGCAAACAATAAATTTCAATGACATAAAAAGTTCTGTCAAAAATTGCTAGTTTAACAGTCGGAACTTTCGTGGAGGAAAAAAACCATCCCGAGCAGAAATTTTTTGTCGTTTTTTTTGAAAATAGTTCGAATAAAAACCATTCGAGCGCAAATACTCCGTCATTTTTTTCGAAAATCGGATTAATTTTATGTTACTAGCCACACCATTATTATAATAGTGTTTCGATTATCTTGGTGTTGTTGCTGTGTTGTTTGGTATAAACTCTTATTTATCCCAGTCTTTTTCTCCAAAACGTTCTGTTTTCTGCAAGGTATATTACAATTCTGTGCTACAGCTAAAGGATATATATTTGTTAGTTCCGTAATATGGTGATGGTGATTTTCAACCAATCATGGCTTTTTCAGGGGCTTTTTATTTAAAATAGGTTTTTTGAAGAGATTTTAACAAAAGGAACCCTAGTTTCGTGATAACAGGTTTCAATTAATTAAACACCCAACCCTTAAACGCCAATTAGGCAGCTCAAAGTCATCGCTCACTTTACCAATTCGGTTTTTTACTTTATGACGACCCAAAAACAGACCAACTTGCTATTTTGAAAACTTGATCACAATTTTCAAACCTGATTGGTTGAAATTCATTCAAACTAAATTTAGGATTTCAATGAGAGCAGACGATCAATTAGCAGTCTAATAATTTTGGCCGTATAACCGAAAAGACCCACCAACTAATCTAACTGTGAAGCGATTAAGTCAAGATCTTCCAATCAAATACATCTTCCACTGCGCTATTTTGTTTACGTTTTTTTAGGGAATGGGGTGGGGGGTGTTTGGTTTATCTCAGTGATAAATGTGAGTGGTTTCAGATGAACAAACTGTCAGATTTCTTCGAGCATGACGAAATCTTCATTGCTTGTGGGCCGGAGAAACTCAAGAAACTTGCTGATGAAGACCTCGCGTATATTAGTGAGTAGTTGTTCATATTCACTGGGCTCGAATAGCTTGGATATGAGCTTCAAGAATATCCAAAGTGTGAGCAGCTAAGCGCATCATTCGAAAGTTATGATAAAAAAGTGGTTTGAGTGCTTCGCCCAAAAACAGATCGCCAAAACTTTTCAAAAGTCCTCACCGGTAAAAAAATCCTCCCCCGTCAAATCTTGAGCAATAATTTTTTTTGCAAAAAAGCGGTTTTGATTAAAATTTTCGGAAATTGGATCGGCAAAGCATTGACTTTAACTCTCACCTGTTTAGATGAGCGAATGACAGTTGGCTCAAAAAGCCCACTCATGGCGAGACGAAAATCGATAGGTTCGTAGTCAGTTTAGAAAGTAATCCAAATGAAGTGCAATTAATGAAAAACAAAATTAAGTTTCACTTCATTTTAAGGATCTAAAAGTCCTCTGTTGGGCCGCAAGAGTCCCCAGCCAGGATTGGCATCGCCAAAATCAGTGAGTATTTAAAAATACAATTAATTGTATTTCAAGCTTTTTTGTTGGCAATATCATTTTCGGTGAGCGAATCTGAACGAAGTTAAATAGCCTGAAACTTCTCATTTTGATGCCTAAAACCACATATTTTCATTTAATTTAACACATAATGTCAAAATAATTAGATGCCAAAACAATTGGCTCAGTTGTTGAAGATTAATACGCTCAAGGTCACCGATATGTCAACAAGAAGAAAAAAATTACCTTCTTTTTTTATTTGAAACTTACTGGTTTCATTTTAAGTTTGGTTCCCTTTCTGATTTAGGTTCGACGAAACATCGACCAAGGGAGCGACTTCAGCCCTTTGAAAGTGTTGGACAGCAAAGTACCGCATGAGGAGTTTTGATTTTGAAAGCGATACAAGGCAGAATGATCATTCAGCCTACTGCGCAGCGAGCCAAATGTATTTTTTATAATCAACCTGCGTTTGAAAAAATTATGAACTTTAACTGAATGTATTCATCTCAAATCCAAATAGCAAGAATATTTAATTTTTTGTTTACCGTTTTGTAACAAGGCTACAGAAAACTGTTCTTTTAGATGTTGTCACGCTTTGTCAGGTTGTCTCGAATGTGACTAGATTTTTGGAGTTGAGGATAGTTTCATTGTTAGATTTAGCAACTCAAATAAACTAGGTTATAATTGATAAACTAAACCGAAGTTTTCTGTAATACTCTAAACCAAATTTTTTGTTTAGAAAACTTTACCCTATATTTTATTTCCGCCTGGGATTTGTTTTATTTCTGTTTTTGTTATTTTTAAGGAAGCAATAAGGAAATCACAAAGCTATCATTACGAGTACACAGTCTGGTGTTTGTAATTGTAGGTCTCTGGAACCCAGAGACAAGTCTTAAAATATGTTAGAATTTTGTCAGGACGGCCAGAGAAAATGAAAGAACAAAAGAAAACCAAAGAGAGCGTCCTTATTGCGAAATCCGCTTACAATTCACAAAAAGCACAGTTTGGCAACGTAATGATCTAAAATTTCATATTCTCCAAAAGTTACTGTGGTTAGAACAGACCAACCAGTTTTGAGCTCAGACGGCAAATCATTAATTTTACTTATTTTCAGAATAAGAGTTGAGGGTTAGAACCACGGCGGCGTGTCACGAAGCCAAATACCCGGATAGCCGAAAAAATCAAGAATTTGTAAAACCTGGGTTTTGTTGACGACATTACCAATCCCATTTTAAATCAACTTTGTATTTTTTGTATAAGCTTTTAGAGCATAGTTTATTAATTGCTAGAGACTAAGTTAAGTGACTGTTTTCTAAGTTTAAGAAAATTGAATATGAGTTCAATCCGCATCGAAGTTTCATGGGTAAAAATCGATGATTAGATTTTGTCACGTTTTGTCAGGTTGTCTCGAATGTGACTAGATTTTTGGAGTTGAGGATAGTTTCATTGTTAGATTTAGCAACTCAAATAAACTAGGTTATAATTGATAAACTAAACCGAAGTTTTCTGTAATACTCTAAACCAAATTTTTTGTTTAGAAAATTTTACCCTATATTTTATTTCCGCCTGGGATTTGTTTTATTTCTGTTTTTGTTATTTTTAAGGAAGCAATAAGGAAATCACAAAGCTATCATTACGAGTACACAGTCTGGTGTTTGTAATTGTAGGTCTCTGGAACCCAGAGACAAGTCTTAAAATATGTTAGAATTTTGTCAGGACGGCCAGAGAAAATGAAAGAACAAAAGAAAACCAAAGAGAGCATCCTTATTGCGAAATCCGCTTACAATTCACAAAAAGCACAGTTTGGCAACGTAATGATCTAAAATTTCATATTCTCCAAAAGTTACTGTGGTTAGAACAGACCAACCAGTTTTGAGCTCAGACGGCAAATCATTAATTTTACTTATTTTCAGAATAAGAGTTGAGGGTTAGAACCACGGCGGCGTGTCACGAAGCCAAATACCCGGATAGCCGAAAAAATCAAAAATTTGTAAAACCTGGGTTTTGTTGACGACATTACCAATCCCATTTTAAATCAACTTTGTATTTTTTGTATAAGCTTTTAGAGCATAGTTTATTAATTGCTAGAGACTAAGTTAAGTGACTGTTTTCTAAGTTTGAGAAAATTGAATATGAGTTCAATCCGCATCGAAGTTTCATGGGTAAAAATCGATGGTTAGATGTTGTCACGTTTTGTCAGGTTGTCTTGAATGTGACTAGATTTTTGGAGTTGAGGATAGTTTCATTGTTAGATTTAGCAACTCAAATAAACTAGGTTTATTTGAGTTGCTAAATCGTTCACTAAAACGTTCTTTCGTTTATTTGAGATACTCGTTCACTAAAACACTAAAATTTTGTCTGGATAAAGGACTATTGTGGCAAATTTAAACCACTGTGATTTTTAGTCGATTAAAATTTATTATATTTAAAAACAAAATCCATCATAATCGATTATGATTGATTAGATTATTTTTGTTTTCAAAATTGTCAATTTTTTGCTCATAAAGTCTGTGAAAAATGATTTTGTTGATGAGAAATGTTTGCTGTTTTTTGTAGCTTATTTGTAGCAGTTCTAACCAATGATAATCGACGGTTTTCCAATTTTAAAGAGACAGACTATACTTTTATATATAACAGACGACTTTCATTCATGAAACTCGAGTGTTTTACTAATTAACCAATTTGAGAGATACTTATCAATCCACTCTTTCAAGAAAGGGGAGAGGTTGTTAAGTAGATTATATTGGCTAATTTTGAACCAATCAGGATGCAGCGAAAAAGGGTGGTGGAAGAATTGTTGAGGAGATCCACATTTTGAATTCAATTGTCTAAAATTAATTAAACATTCTAATTAAATTAAGTAGAAAAACTCGTGGGTTATGAAGAAATACGTGTGACTTTTTTGAAAAAAAATTTTTGCTGTGTTTTTTGTTTTCATTTAAGATTAAGTTATCGAAAGCTAAACTTTGAGCATTTTTACGCGCTAGAAGAAACCAGAAGCCAAGAAATTCCAGCCCCGAGTAAGAAAATTTTGGGCCAAGTTGATATCCTGAAAAACACTCTTCTTAAAACTTCTTATAAGTCTTGTTTTATATGAAAGATGTAAAATAGGAGATATACCTACAAGTCCAGAAAGCATTTTTTTCCTGAAAATATAAAAGAAGTTGCCAAAAACTCTTTGATTTACAGATAAAACTTATTTTTGGAATTATTTTTCAAATTTAAGCAGGAAAACATTTTCACATTGTGTCTATTAAGTATGCATTTCGAACAATACTTTCAAAAAACTCAATATCTCACAGCAATACAAATTTAACGATTGGACGTTGTTTTGGTGACAATAAATATAATTTTGACTATTTTTGTCATATATGTTTGGATGTGTTCTAAGTAAGTACAGAAATATCTGAAACAAAAAATATTCAGCTATGTTCAATGTATTTAGTTGAAAACTTTTTCTTTTTCTAAAAGTGATAGTAAAATTAGTTTGCAAAAATGTCTTACCTTTTTCATGAAAAAACCCTAATTTGTAAAAATTTTAGTCTGATCTTGTAAATTTCTAAGAGTTCTACTTAAATAGCAAGTTGTGGTCAAACCGGGGGAGGAGTCAAGAGCACAATCCCCCTAAAGGACCCACGGTAGAAATTCCGCCCTAGTCAAGTAATATTTTTAAAATTGATTTAATTAAATTTAAAAGATGCATTTCAAACAAACGCGTTCATTTTTTTGTTCAAGAATATGATTGATTTTGCTGTTCAAAAATTTTAAAAAAATGCTATTTTCTACTGACGGTTACCCAAATTATTATTCACATCTTTTTCGTTTATTCTATCTTATTAATAAGATCAATCAATTTTTCCCTCAAAGTTCATTTCTAAAACTCCCTGATCTCATCCCCCAAGTCAATTTAGGCAAGGGTGAGGATTTGTACGCCCGTACCGAACAAAAGCTTCTAAACTGCAAGAATCATATAAAAAGAATCTGATTTAATTTTTTGTGTTTTTGTATACAGAAAGGATCTATTTTATATCAAACATTTATAAGTGCATTTGCCTGGATTGAACAAAACTTCTTATCATACACTTCCATACGTACGGAAAATTTCATGAAGTTTCTATGAAAGGTATTTTTCCACATATGAAGATTGTATGACAACTATTTTTCCATAAACAAAAAAGTTTGATTTTTTTTTCCAAGTTTAATTTTTGAAAAATTTTGGGTTGTGTTTGTGACCGAACGCAAGTGACAGAGACCTTGGTTTACTCAAAGCTGGATTTACCAAAGATTGGACGGTTTTGCATTTACAATGCCTAGAAAACGACCTGAATTGTCTGAGAACTGTCTTTCATAAATGATATAACAAAAGTACCAAACTTTGAAATTTTTGCAAAAATTTTCATTGATGATTATTTTTGAAATCTGAATTTATAAACTATCAGACCTTGATCAAGGAATACATAATAATGCCATACAAAAAAGGAGTTTTTAGCGTTTTGAAAAAAGTTTTCAAGCGAAAAGGAAAAAAAATCAAACATTGGTGCCTCCAGGACTACGTTATGAACACAAAAAAAAATAATTTTTGCATGAAAAAAGTTTTTTTTCTGGAAAATGTTTGTTTAAGTACAAGGTTCGATTTGCGGTTGAAAAAAAACCGAAGAAGATTTTGGGCAATTTCAAAATTACTTGGCAAAATTTTTGTGTCGTCATCAAAAAAATGCTAGTCATGCAATTTCCATATATAAGGATTGTATGAAAATGTTTTTTTTCAAAAAACAAAAACACCGTTTTTTTTATCACCAGACTGTTTTATTAGAATCAAATAGCGTCATAAATTAGTTTACATCTTTTTTCAACCATTTAAAAAAAAATTGTTGGCAATCACCAGGACTTATTGTACACTGGATAGAATGCGTTCTGCCTTATTGACCATTTTATCCATTCAGTGTTTGTCTCTCTCACATACACTTGATGTATGGAATTGTTTGATAAGCTTTTCTGGGGTATGGAGGTCAACTCGAATGGTTATTCTTTGAAGCTATACAAGGAAAAAGGTTGCTTCGACCACGAATGTTCAAAATTTAAGTGGCTTACTGTTTCACGCGAACTTCTAGTGACACGAAATCGGAGGTTCGACTCTCACCAGGACTTTATTTTTGCTAAAAAAGCATAGATTTGGAAAATTTGTGACCAGAAAAAAGTATTTAATAAAATCCATGCTTAACTTCAACACATTTATAGGATTTTCGTGTCAGGATTCAGATTAGAATTTAAGTATTTCTCGTTATAATCGAAGCATTTGTTAGGCACGGGAGGTTTATGCGAACTTTGAATAAGTCAAAATGAAGGACTTAGTTTAACATATAATGGACACTTTGGGCTGAATAAACTGAACTTTTTGTTTCATTATTTGTGATTAAAGCAGTCAGTTCAAATTTTGTTGATCACATCCAATTTTTGGCCAGTTTTCTTTATGCAACGTTTGTTATTTCTCTCAAGCAGGGGCTTTAACCTTGGTTCTCCGAAATTAAAGAACATGACACCATC